CATTTTTGGCTTTTTCTAGCTCGTTCATTCGGCCATCCTTGGTAGCAATCTCGCCCAGCAAATTCTTCACCTTTTCCTCCAGCTGCCTACAACTACAGCAGTTACGCTTATCTTGTGACTGTATAACCTACCGAACGCTAGAAAAGGGGCTTACCGAATACTGTTTGCATCTGGTGCCGACGGCGGTGTTTCTTCTAGTTGACGCAGTTTTTCATTTAGATTGTTCACTGTTTCCTGAAAGAAGTGCACGTTTTATTCGATTCTTGTGAAACACATTCAATAGTTCATCAAATTGTACAACCGTTTTCTCTCGGAAGCGACTGCTTATCGGACTACCAATAAATTGTGCTCAACTGATCCCATGATTGGAAAGAAGAAATTGCTCAAAATGTACAGTTTCTTCTTTCTAGGTCCCGGGGTCAGTTTTTGCCACTTATTTGCAAACCCTGAATTTGGCCTCTAGAATTCTACAAAGCTTGGCACCTATCATCACCTCACAAAAATTTCAACAAAACGAAAAATAATTTTATAGATTAACACGCGATCTTATTAATTTTTGAGGAATCTGTTAGATTTATTCAATTTTGATAAAACATCTTGTAAGGATCCTGCGGATATGCCTTGGATATGCAATGAATTTTGTTCTGTGAGAATTATACAGAATTATACAGTCTAGTCCTTTAGCTAGCCAATCCTGTTACTAAGATTAATTTATTCGTCTTGCTGCAAAAAAAGTGCAAAATGCAAGGCTTTACAGAATCGAACAAGTTTTCCCTTTAAGAAATGGAAATATCGGTGTCACACGTAACAGACTGTGTTTCTTGAAAAGGCTTGGGGTGAAGAGGTAGAAGAGTGATATGACCTAGAGCAAGATGCACTTCCAGAAGAAAAGTTATGTGCTGTAATTAGATCAAATGAAAGCACATTGATGTCCATTACTGCAGAAGTTGAAGCGAAAAAAAAAGAAACCTGACTGGCACGTTCCTGTTCTTCCAGATCACGCTTCAAGCTTTCCAGCATAGACTGCAGCTCGGCAATGTGCTGACGTTTTTCTTCCAGATCATTTTCCAAGCCTGCCGCTCTAAAACATGCACAAAACAATGTGCGGGATCGTACAATAAACTCAAATGTGATTAATTTGAAAGAGAAAAACAAATACCGATAATTAGCATCCTGCAACCACTGCTGATGCTCTCCGAGCTTCCACTGCGCGTCATCCTTCTGCTTTTGCAAATCGCGCAGCTCGTCATTTTTGAGATCAAGCTGGCGGTGCAGTGCTTCTATTGTTGAACTGGCATTATCACTGTAAACAGCCTGTTTAATATTTATGTGTTTTGCTACCAAATATCAAAAAAAGCTAGAATCAACATTCACTGGGCTTTTCAATGACAGGGTTTTTTCGTCTTAATTCTTCAACAAGACACTTCCTCTCATGCTAATTCACTAAAATATAACTCTTCTGCGTTCTGCTGAATTACAGTTATCGAGCATCTTTACATTCACGAGCCAATCAAATGTTAGCTCCTTACAGTAGGAGATTTGATCAGGAAAGCGAAGAAAAAGCTTGGATTCTGTAATACATGAAACCCATTTTTTGCAAATGAGTATGGCCCTACAGGAAATCCCCTTCACAATCGAATTACGCCTCTTCACATTTGGACGCGCCATGCTTTTAACTGCATCACATTCTCCAGGACTCCAGACATAGCCTGGAAGCGCTTCTCTGCGTAATTTCCCTTTAACGCAGAATATACCTTTTCGTTTCTTTTCTGCCACCCACAGGCAGTACACATCTCTTTCCTGTCCACCTTTCTTCAGGCAATACACAGATTTATGGCAGCTTTTTCTTTGCTAACTTTTCGCGGGTTTTTTGTGACAATTTTACTAAGACTGGGCATTCATTCTAATCGAACATCGCTGAATTTTCTTTGCATTTTATTGAGTGTTACTAAATTACAGTAATCATGTTGACCTTGAGGCATCCAACGGCTCAATGATCTTTGGTCCGGTCTGTTCAAGTTCTATCAGCCTCTGCTCCAAGCTGTCAATCTTGTCCTGCAAAAAAAGGCGTGTGAAAACTGGTTTGGGAATTTTTTTATTTGTCTTCCTAAAGGTATTTCACCCACTTTGCTGGCAAGTTGTGATTCGGCGGCAATTTTTTGCGCATTGTCGAGAGCAGCGTGCAAGTCTTCGATTATTTTATTTTTCACTCCCAAATCATTTTCTAGCGATTGGCCCCTGAAAGACGCATAATTCACTAAAACACGTTATCGCCAAATACGCTACTGATCCAGTCAAATGCAACTTAAAATTCGAGAGTTAAACGATCCAAAATAATATTTAGGAAAATTGGTTTTTTTTGCTCAGGAAACTTTCTAGAGTTTTCAGAAGTACCAGTTTCTGGTGTCGCTAAGCCACT